GCACTTCAGGACATGGTTTAGCAGGCATGGTGGTGCTGGGGTGATGGCTGGACTCGATCTTAGAGGTCTTTTCCAACCTTAATGATTCTGTGAGTCTATGATTTAACCCCTGGCCATACTCTTTGCTTTAACTCCCCCACCAGCCAAACCATGGAGGATCCTCTCTGCTGGAAAACATGAGCCACCCTTCACCTGTATAAACCTTCCCCATCCCAGTTGGCTGCTTCGAGTCCCAGCGCATCCCACCGGCAACTGGAGTTGCACTGGGGAGTGACTGGAGCGATGCGGGGAGGTGCCGGGCGTCTCGCTCACCTGTATGGATTCCTTGGGGTCATCAGCGTGGCTCGAATGCATCTCAGCTGCTGCCGCTCCCCGCACCGGGCGCTGCCGTCACATGTCACCTTCGGGACAAGGAGAAGGAGCACATCTGAGCACCCACCTGGTCCACACCCAGCTCACCTGCCAGGCGAAGGGCACCCGGTGGCACACAGGCGCCTTGGAGCATGGCCCCGGGCATTTTGCAAACGCTCACGGCCAGACCACTGCTGGATTCAAGCTGGGACCGACGCACGACTGTATCGACACACGCTCCCAGAGACCAAGAGAGTTCTGGGCAAAAACAGAGCACGGCCAAGAGACCGAGAGGGAGTAATTAACCCTTGCAAGAGGGAGCAATTAACCCTCGCAAGCTGGCTGCGGGCAGCCCTATATTGGGTGAGACGCCAGCAGTGATGCACGCAGGGCTGGGGACGGCCTCCCTCCTGCTCCTACCTCAGCTGCGATGCCCCGGTGCCAGCAAGGGCATCACCACAGGCGTTTAGCGAGTGAGCCTGAACGATGGCACCCAAAACCCACACGACAACCCAGACAACCCCAGAGGGGTGTCACCCCCCCGCAGACCCCGGGCAGACGCAGTGGCAGCTCATCGCCCTGGTCCTTGCTGGAGGAGCAAGGCTGCTGCCAGCCCCGCCGGGACGGACCCTCTCGCAGGCACAGAGCTGCCAGGGAAGCCGGGAAGGAAGGACGCTGGTTCTCCATCAGGTTTTCAGCCGCTCTGTTCCGAGGCAGACGCTGGATCGCCTGGGAACGCCCCGCTCCAGGGGGCTGCATACGTCCAGGCTGCTCTACTGCAGCTGGTTTTGGTCGGAGAGAGGAAAACAAGTGCCCTCGTGCTATGGGGAACCCTGGCAAAACCAGAGCCGAGCAGGCAGCGGCAGCCTCGCCGGGGTCATCTGCAACTGCAGGGCATTTGCAGACAACAAAGGACCTTTGACTTCCGACTTCTGGCCTCCTGCCCCGCTCTTCAGAGCTGTCTGCCGAAACCAAGCTGTGCCTGGAGGCTCTGTGAGCAAAAGCACGCGGCTGTCAGCGAGGGGCCTGTCGCTCGGCTGCGTCCCTGCTCAACCACGGCCCGTCCTGGCGCTGAAAAGGGTCCGAGAGCCTCTCCAGCACCAGCCACCGCCGCAAAGCTTTCCAAGGATGTGAGAGGTCGGAGAAGAAATTTACTTCCCTGAGTTGGAAGCACTTGCCGTGGCTTTGCCATCCAAGTGGAGAAGGAGAGAGCCCGGCAGCTGGCCGCAGCGTTTGGGGGTGCCCGTGGCAGACAACGGGCTTGGCATGGCATCGGTACTTCAGGCTGTATTTCCAAGCTGACACAAAAACTCCAGAGCTTTCCTCAAGCAGAGCTGACGGCCTCAACCTGCCCCTCTCCCTGCACCGGGAGCTGTCAAACGAGGACAGAAACACGGTCTGCAGCCCAGCTCCTGCACGCCCACTGCCAGTCCCGAAGGCAGCGGGGGTCTGAATCCGGAGCAGCCCAAGCACGGACCGCACCAGCCGGTCCTGCTCGGAGCAGCAGCTGCAGAGCTCTCTGGGGACAAAGCCCGGACCGATCCTCCGTGTTTCCAGAGGTCACAGATGATTTCATAGCAAAGGAAACTGTTTTTGCCACGACTTGTCATAAGATTTCCTCTCTTCCGGTTGCAACACAGAAGTGGGGGAGCACAGTGATTACAGCAACGTTCACCTCCGGCTCAGAAGCTCGAGGCGCTGCTGGGGGTTTCTGGGGGCAGCGAGGGGACACCAACGCGACAGCAGCGGCTGATGGGGACTGCAGGGATCACCACCTCTGCCCTCCGCATGCGAGGTTCGGGCTCCTCGGG